ACGTCGCTCGTACGTCCATGATCCATGCGGCTGCTCCCCATTTTCTGTGGCCGTTTACGGTTCGGTACGCAGCGCATCAGATCAACCTTCAGCCCCGGGTCTCCTTGCCGGAGACCTCCCCCACCTTGCGGTGGACGGGGAAGGTTGGCGATGCATCAACGTTTCGTGTCTGGGGATCTCAGGCGTTTGTCCGCGACTTGTTTGCGGACAAGCTGTCCCCCCGTGCGGTTCCCTGCGTCTTCCTTGGCTTCCCCCCTGACGCGCTTGGTTGGCAATTTCACCACCCCACCTCACGCCGTGTTCTGTCCTCCCAGGACGTCATGTATGACGAGTCGGTTCCTTCCTACCGTCTCTTCCCCTATTGCACTGCACCCCTCCCCCCGCCGCCGCTCCTCCTTACGCTAGGTCCCCTCCCGGTAGACCCCCTCCCCTCTCAGGGTCCTGCCCCGTCAGGTGTGTCCCAGGTAGACGCAATCAAGCATGTCGAGGTAGCTGTCTACTCTCGTACCGCTAGGGGTGCTGAGTCTGGGGGTGTTGAGCCTGGGGGTGCTAAGTCTGGGGGTGCTGGGCTTGGGGGTGCGGAGCCTAGGGGTGGTGAGCTTGGGGGTGCGGAGCCTGGGGGTACGGAGCCTGGGGGTGCTGAGCCTGGGGGTGCGGAGCCTGGGGGTGCTAGGTCTGGTCGTGTGGCCTCTAGCGGTGCTGGGTTTTGGGCCCCTTCGGGTGCTTCGTCGAGGCGAGAGCTACCCTCTCCACAGGAGCTGCGCGAGTGGTTTTCCCGGCGCTCGAGCCGTGCTGCTGGAGCTGGAGGTGTTGCTGTTACTGCTGACCCTAGGGTCAGCACACGAGTTACTGGAGCCACTGGTCCTGGAGGTGCTCGTACCGGCGGTACTGGAGCTGGTAGGCCTGGGGGTGCTGCTGAGGCTGTTGGAGCTGACGCTCCTGCTGGAGTTGGTGCTGCTGGAGCTGGAGCTAGAGCTGCTGGGGGTGTTGGCGCTGGAGGTGCTGCTGGCGCTGGTGCTTCTAAAGGTGCTGGAGTTGGCGCTGTTGGAGCTGGAGGTGCTGATGGCATTGGTGCTGCCGTAGGAGGTACTCGTGCTGTCCCTACTGGTTCTAGAGGCGGTGCGCAGCCGCGGCCGTACTTCGTTCCGCTCCTTGAGCAGGTTCTTGGTCTCCCGCCTTCTACTGGTCCTGCTCCTCCCTTAGAGTGTCCACAGCCTGTCCCGTCGCAGTCACACTTACAGCCCGCCTCCCCCTTGCCTGCTCCTTCTCCCTACACTGGTCCTACTGGAAGTCTTGCTGAGCGTCGTGAGCCTGCGTCTCGTCCTGCGTCGCCTGTTCGTGCTGCTCGCACTAGTAGTCGTGCTCCATGTCCGCGTCTTCCTACGGTCCCAGGCACACACCAGATGGCACTACGTCCTTCCACTGCTCCTCTGCGTGTCCCGTTGCCTTCTTCTCCAGAGTCCTCTCTTCCTGTCCTTGCTGACACGGAGTCTGACTCTGGTCGTGCTGCCAGTCCTACTGTCACGCGTCTCCTAGCTACTGATGTCACTGACCCTTCCTTTGAGTCCACTGCTGCGTCTGCCTTAGTTGCTGAGCTTGTCGACTTTGCTGCTCACTGTCATCTAAACTACGCTGCTAGTCTTGTTGCTGAGTCTGAGTCTGTCTGTCCTCCGTCTTTCGGGGGTGAGTGTGCTCTTAGCACGGACGTTCTTGAGGACAGGCAGGAGGAGTTCAAGTGTTTTGGTGCTGCTTTGCCTCATCTCGTGTCCACGCTGATTGCCCTTGAGGGAGACCCGAATGCACCAGACATTCTGACTCCTCGATCGTACGCTGCGGCGATCGAGGGTCCCTACTCACAGTGGCAGTCACCCATGGACGCAGAGATGGCTTCCTGGAAGTCCATAGGCACCTACGTCGACAAGGTTCCCCCACCTGGGGCGAACATCGTCAGTGGCATGTGGATTTTCAGGGTGAAGCGGCCGTCGCGTTCTCCGCCTGTCTTCAAGGCGCGTTACGTGGCTCGAGGCTTCGGTCAGCGGCAGGGAGTTGACTACTTTCAGACCTTCTCTCCCACCCGGAAGATGACCACTCTTCGGGTGTTGCTGCACAAAGCCACCCAGCGCGACTACGAGCTTCACTCTCTTGACTTCAGCACTACTTTCCTACAGGGCGGCCTACACGAGGAGATCTGGCTGCGCCGCCCACCTGGCTTCACTGGGTCATTTCCTCCAGGTACCCAGTGAAGCCTCCGGCAGCCAGTCTACGGTCTCCACCAGGCGCCCCGTGAGTGGCACGACACACTGAGGACTACACTTGCGGCTCTTGGGTTTGCTCCTTCTACTGCCGAACTGTTGCTGTTTCTACGCACCGACACCTCTTTGTCGTCGTTCTACATCCTCGTGTACGTCGACGACTTGGTCTTTGCCACTGCTGACACTGCTGGACTCGCCTACGTGAAGTCTGAGCTGCAGAAGAGACACACGTGCACAGACCTAGGTGAACTGCGCAGCTACCTTGGCTTGCATATCACCCGGGATAGAGCACACCGCACCATTACCCTGACTCAGTCACACATGGTGCAGTAGGTCCTTGTGCGCTTCGACTTCACGTACTCCTCGCCTCAGGCCACTCCTCTATCTACTCGCCACTCGCTCTCAGCTCTGCCTTCGGATGAGTCCGTAGAGCCGAGTGGCCCGTACCCAAAGCTTGTTGGCTGCCTCATGTACCTGATGACCTGCACACGACCTGACCTAGCATACCCTCTTAGCATCTTGACACACTATGTTGCTCTTGGGAGACACCGACCAGAGCACATGGCTGCAGCGAAGAGGGTGTTGCGTTACTTGTGCAGTACGTCGGGCATGGGGCTAGTGCTTGGAGGGCGACGTCGAGTGGTCCTCAAAGGTCACGCAGGCGCTTCTTGGGCTGACAACCAGGCTCTGCAGCGGTCGTCACAGGGTTACACCTTCAGCCTTGGCTCCGGCTCTGTTTCGTGGCGGTCTACCCGCTCATCTTCTGTTCTCGGCTCCAGCTGTGAGGCTGAGATCTACGCGGGGGCCATGGCTGCACAGGAGCTACACTGGCTCACCTACCTGCTGACTAACCTAGGAGAGCCGCCTTGTTCTCCTCCAACAAGGCCATGCTGGCCTTATGTCGGGAGCACACACTGGAGCACAGATCGAAGCACATTGCTCTTCGCTATTTCCTTGCTCGTGAGCTGCAGCAGCATGGTCAGCTGCGCCTTGCTTACGTGGCCTATGAGGCCAACACTGCTAATATCTTTACCAAGGCAGTTCCACCTTGTGATCATCAGCGCTACTGTACAATGTTAGGTCTTGTGCCTACTTGGCCTCACTTGCTCATTTCTTGACCTTGCTTGTACTGTGATCTTTCTATATTTGCACTTGCTTGTTTACCTTTATATATGATCTTGCATGTGAACTGGCCTTGTGGCCTTGAACTCGTGCTCGGAATGTGTGGTGACGTTGTGATCCTCCCTGAGCTTGCTTTGCTTTGTTTGAGTGGTCTTGTAACCTCTTGTTCTCCCCAACTTCAGTCGGAGCACGAACAAGAAAGTTAGGAACGTTTGGAGTTCGTATGCTTTTGATATTTTGTTGTGGTGACTATGGGGAGTTGTGGGGTTGACTCCATATGGAGTACAGACTTTTGGGGGTTGGGAAATTCGTCAACATCAGTGTAGATGCTGCCAAGTGGTTGGGAGGAGCCAAACCAGGTTGGCAAGTGTGGCCAAGTTGGGCAAGGTGGATGGCATGGGTTGGGAAAGTGACAAAAGTGAAAGTGGGGTTGCCTATGGATAAGGGAATTGTGTGGCATGGGGTTTCCTTGGTTGGGGACTCTCTTGGGACCTTCCTGTCAGAATATATCTGTAACTGCCTGTAGCTATATTTCGTGTAGTTATTATAAACTTTGTTTGGTGGTGCACCTTCTTTGTTTCTTTGCTATATGTTGTTGCCAACCTATAGTGAAACCACCTTTCTCATCTCTCAACTTTCTCGACACTTCACTTCAACCCTAAACCTTAGCTTCTAAGAACTCACTAGCAATGGCTCCTAAGCCAACCTATGCCTAGACTTCAACATGGTATTCAGAGCAGGTACCTTCCTGCTGCCTTCTTGCTTCCGCTGCCTATCGTCCTGCCGCACGCCTCGGGCGCGCGGCTCTGGCGCACGGCGATTTTCTGCCCGCCGTGTGCTCGGGGCGCACGGCGGTTTTCTGCCCGCCGTGCGCCCTGGGCGCGCGGCGTCTTCCTGCCCCGCGCGCGGCCTGCTCTCACGCCGCCTGCGCGCCTGCCTCATGTCCACGCGCGGGCCTGTTTTGCCCGCCCGTACCCTCCAATTCGCGGCGCCCTGCGAGGCGCCGCTCCTGCTCGTCGCGACGCACCTGCGGGACCCGGGCGTCGCCGCTCCTGCTCGTCGCGGCGCCCCTGCAGGACCCGCACGGCGTCGCCGTGCTTGTCGTGACACCACTGCGGGACCCACGGGGCGTCGCCACAGCTCGTCGCGGCGCCCCCAGGACGCCGCCCCTACTCGTCGCGGCGCCCCTGGGGCGTCGTCCCTACTCGTAGCGGCACCCCTTGGGCGCCGTTCCTACTCGACGCGGCGCCCTCCCCCCTGGCCACCGCCTCTGCCTCACCTGCACCCGCGCCAGCGTTGCAGCCGAGCGCGGGCCTACCTTGCCCCAGCGCCGCCCCTGGACCTCAGCAGCAGCCCCTGAAGCAGCCGCCCCAGCAGCAGCAGCCCCTAGAGCCGCCGCCCCAACAGCAGCAGCCCCTGGAGGCGCCGGCACTGCAGCGGCCGCCCCAGCAGCAGCAGCGCCTAGAGCAGCCGCCCCTAGCAGCAGCAGCCCTTGCAGCGGCCGCCCCAGCAGCAGCAGCGCCTGGAGCAGCCGCCCCAGCAGCAGCAGCCCCTGGAGCAGCCGCCCCACAGCAGCAGCCCCTGGAGCCGCCGCCACTGCAGCGGCCACCCCAGCAGCAGCAGCGCCTACCCCAGCAGCAGCAGCGCCTGGAGCAGCCGCCCCAGCAACAGCAGCCCCTAGAGCAGCCGTCCCAGCAACAGCAGCCGCCCCTGGAGCCGCCGCCCCAACAGCAGCAGCCCCTGGAGCCGCCGCCACTGCAGCGGCCGCCTCAGCAGCAGCAGCGCCTGGAGCAGCCGCCCACTGCGCCGACTCCACAGCTGTCTGCACCGCCGCTCCTGGACTCGGTACGGCTGCCCGTGCCTGTGCTGCCTGTTGCTGCCCGTGCCTGTGCTGCTCGTTGCCGCCTGTTGCTGCCCGTGCCTGTACTGCCCGTTGCTGCCTGTTGCTGCCCGTGCCTGTTGCTGCCCGTGCCTGTGCTGCCCGTTGCTGCCTGTTGCTGCCTGTGCTCGTTGCTGCCTGTTGCTGCCCGTGCCTGTGCTGCCTGTTGCCGCCCGTTGCTGCCCGTGCCTGTGCTGCCCGTTGCCGCCTGTTGCTGCCCGTGCCTGTGGTGCCCGTTGCTGCCCGTGCCTGTGCTGCCTGTTGCCGCCCGTTGCTGCCCGTGCCTGTGCTGCCCGTTGCTGCCTGTTGCTGCCCGTGCCTGTGCTGCCTGTTGCCGCCCGTTGCTGCCCGTGCCTGTGCTGCCCGTTGCCGCCCGTTGCTGCCCGTGCCTGTGCTGCCCGTTGCCGCCTGTTGCTGCCCGTGCCTGTGCTGCCCGTTGCTGCCTGTTGCTGCCTGTGCCTGTGCTGCCTGTTGCCGCCCGTTGCTGCCCGTGCCTGTGCCGCCCATTGCCGCCCGTTGCTGCCCGTGCCTGCGCTGCCCGTTGCCGCCCGTTGCTGCCCGTGCCTTTGCTCCCTGTTGCCGCCCGCTGCTGCCCGTGCCTGTGCTGCCTGTTGCCGCCCGTTGCTGCCCGTGCCTGTGCTGCCCGTTGCCGCCCGTTGCTGCCTGTGCCTGTGCTGCCCGTTGCCGCCCGTTGCTGCCCGTGCCTGTGCTGCCCGTTGCTGCCTGTTGCTGCCTGTGTCTGTGCTGCCCGTTGCCGCCTGTTGCTGCCCGTGCCTGTGCTGCCCGTTGCTGCCAGTTGCTGCCCATGCCTGTGCTGCCTGTTGCCGCCCGTTGCTGCCCGTGCCTGTGCTGCCTTTCGCTGCCCGTGCCTGTGCTGCCTGTTGCCGCCCGTTGCTGCCTGTGCCTGTGCTGCCCGTTGCCGCCCGTTGCTGCCCGTGCCTATGCTGCCTGTTGCTGCCTGTTGCTGCCCGTGCCTGTGCTGCCCGTTGCCGCCAGTTGCTGCCCGTGCCAGTGCTGCCCGTTTCCGCCCGTTGCTGCCCGTGCCTGTGCTGCCCGTCGTGGTCCCTGCTGCTGCCCGCGCCCTTGTGCGCTCTGGTCTGCCTGCGCCCTTGTGCGCTCTGCTGCTGCCCGCGCCCTCGTGCGCCCTGCTGCTACCCGCGCCCTTGTGCGCTCTGCTCTGCCTGCGCCCTCGTGCGCTCTACTACTGCCCGCGCCCTCGTGCGCCCTGCTGCTGCCCGCGCCCTTGTGCGATTTGCTCTGCATGCGCCCTCGTGCGCTCTGTTCTGCTCTGTCGCCCCTGCCCCCCCCCCCCCCCCCCCCCCCCCTCCCCCCCTTCTTCGTCTCCTTGCTGCGCGTGCAGCCGTGGAACGGAGGCTATGGGGGTGGCGGGTATGGGGGTGATGGGTGTGTGTGATCCCCATCCCCTCCTCCTCCTTTCTCTCCCACTGCTGCAGCTGCCGCTGGGGGGGGGTGGGTGTGAGGGTTGTGGGGGAGCTGGGGGAGAGGTGCTAGGGTTGTCAAGGAGTGTGGAAGGGGGAGTTGGAGGACTGAGGAAGGTTCCAGGAAGCAGCCGCCTTGGAGCCAGCAGCTTCACCTGCCAGCAGCCTCTCCTCATATAGTCCCTCCTCCTCACTTGCCCTCTCCTTCTGCTGCGCATGGTGTACCCCTTCAGGGGGTGTCTCTGCATTAGCTTCTGCTGCAGGCAGTTATGGGGGAGTGTCAGAATATATCTGTAACTGCCTGTAGCTATAGTTCGTGTAGTTATTGTAAACTTTGTTTGGTGGTGCACCTTCTTTGTTTCTTTGCTATATGTTGTTGCCAACCTATAGTGAAACCACCTTTCTCATCTCTCAACTTTCTCGACACTTCACTTCAACCCTAAACCTTAGCTTCTAAGAACTCACTAGCAATGGCTCCTAAGCCAACCTATGCCTAGACTTCAACACTTCCCTCTCGTCCTCCTCATCCCTCCCACCTGGTTTATTGCCACTCTAACTCTCTTGTGTAGAAATTGTGCAATTATGAGAACTTTGTGATTGAGTTAAGATTCCGTGGCAGCATACCCCCTAGTGCGCCAACATTGATAACTCAAGAAATACTACACTTTTTTGTATGATTCAACTTGGAAATTGTAGCCACGGAGTAGAGCTACAACATATCTAAGTTTGGTGAAGTTATGACTGTGAACTTTTCGTCGACTGCGTTACTTGTGAGCGCGACTTTTCTGTCCAGAATTCTAAGCCAACGATTTTGAGAATTTTAGGCACCTAATCTTCGTAGACTCCATCCTTAATCTCTAGCAAGTGGTATCAGAGCTGATTAAGGACCTTTTGGGGAGTCTACTGAAGTGTGAAGACCCTTCTAGACCCACCATGGCCTGTGGGCGTGCCTAAGTGGAGTTCTGGAGGCTGGATGTGACTTCCGCTAAGGGGAAACTCTGCCGAAATTTCGTTGGCGCCGACACTTGTGAAGATTGTGTGGATCTACATTGTTACCAGCAAAGGGGGAAGCTGAAACCTCTGTTTGGGAGCAAAGGAGATGAATCAAGGGAAGGAGATGCAGCTGAGAAGAGGGGTGAGCCGCCACCATCCAAGATTGAAGCTTTGGATGGCTCCAACTATGAGGAATGGAGCGGGCGGATGCGGAGCGCCTTCAAGCGCTACAAGCTGCTCAAATTGCAATGGGAGAGGAGAAGATGCCGGGGGAAGGAGATGCCCGGGATCGGTGGATTGAGAAGAGCGCGGTGCTGTACGACCTCATCCTCCAATCGGTCAACAACGACATGTTCCAGCACATCAAGGATTTGGTGGAGTTGGACGATTCCGGACCGAAGGCATGGAAGCTGCTACGCGACGTGATTCAACCCAACACGCTGCCGATGGTGATTGTGTTGGAGAAGGAGTTGGCTGCCCTCTCCATGAAACCGGGAGATGATGTGAAACCGGTCCTTGACAAGATCAAGGACACCTATGCGAGGATGGCAGCGGCGGGCAGCAAACTGTCGCAGATGCAACAGTGCACCAAGATCATCTCGGTGCTTGACAACTCGTGGGACAACCTCATCCCCACCCTCAACGTTCAGCAGGACAAGTGGACGCCTGAGTGGCTACGGCAGCAGATCCTGCAGGAGGACTTCCGCAGGCGCCACATTGGACGTGGTGCTGCCAACAAAACTGCTGAGGGGTATGGAGCTGCAGGAGGCAGCAGAGGAAGAGGGGGAGGGAGAGGCCGAGGCCGTGGGAGAGGCTTTGGCAGAGGGAGAGGCCGAGGTGACTACAATGAGGGGCATGGGAGCTCTGGTGGCAGGGGGAGCACCCAAATGGAGGGTGCGTGCTGGTACTGCAAGAAGGCTGGACACCCGTGGTTCAGGTGTTTCAGCCGGCCTGAGGGATGGGCGCCCCCAGGCATGAAGCCGCCAAGTGGTGAACGTGCACGAGGTGGCGCTGTGCAAGGTTCAGGTGCTCAAGGTGATGGTGCACAAGGTAAAGCCGACCCTGGGATGTTCCTCATGGTTGAGGATGTGCAAGGGAGTGGGGGTGATGTGGGTTCAGTTGGGAAGGCTGTGATGCACCCCCTCACTCACTGGGTGATCGATTCAGGTTGCACGAGTCATATGACCCCACGGGCAGATTTGCTTGATGAGGTAAAACCTCCTGGGAAGATCAAGTTTGTGGTTGCCGCTTCAGGTGCTTTGCTCCCTGTGATTGGTGTTGGGAATGCCAAGGTGATGGGAGCCAATGGAGGGCTTGTGGGGCTTGGGAATGTGCTGTTGGTTGAAGGTTTGTCCGCTAACTTTCTTTCTGTGCGCCGGCTGCAGAAGAGCAAGGCTGAAGTTACCTTCGGCCCAACCAGCTGCCGTGCAAAGCTTGGAAAGTTGCTGCTGTGGAACTTGGAGGAGAAGAGCAGCTGCATCAAGGACCTATGGCAGCTGCCCATCATCCCTTGGAAGGGGAAACCACCAGCAACGGCAAAGGCAGCAGCAGCGGCTAAAGCAACTGCGGGAGGAGAGGAGACTGCACCAACTGATGGGGCCTTGGATGCAGTCAAGAAGGTGCAGCAGCCACAGCAGCTACAGCAGCCACATGGTGAGGTGCTTGCTGGTGTGGATGGGACAGCTGCATGGGCAAAAGCTTCATCTGGGAGTGGTGAGGCTGATTGGGAGACGTGGCACGAGAGGTTGTGTCACATCAACATCCCTATGCTGCAGAAGTTAGTGAAGGATGGGTGCTTGAAGGGGCTGGAAGTGAAGGGGGCAGCAAAGGAGATTGGGAGCTGCCCTACATGCCTTGAGACCAAGTTCACGAAGTTTCCCTTCAGCAGCAGCACAGGACCAGCCAAGGCGCCACTTGCACTTGTGCACATGGATGTGGAGGGCCCCACGAGGACCCCTTCTCTCTCGGGCAGCCGCTATTTCCTGACCATTGTGGACGACCACACACGTGCGGCGTGGGTCTACCCTTTGAAGACTAAGGGGGAGGTGGCAGCGGCTGTTCTCAAGGAGTGGATGCCGAGAGCTCAAAGGGAGAGCGGATACAAGGTGAAGGTGATCCGCACCGAGAATGGGGGAGAATTCATTGGCGCTGATTTTGAGGCGGTGCTGAAGAATAAGGGGATCCAGCATCAGCTTACGGTGCCCTACAACCCTCAGCAGAACGGCGTGGCTGAGCGGTTCAACCGGACCCTGCAGGAAGGTGCTCGCACTCTCCTTAGGCGTGCAGGGCTGCCGGATCCGTTTTGGGTGACTGCACTGCGGCAGGTCGCCCTTGTGAAGAACAGGGTGCTGGCAACTGTGGGGGACAAGCAGTGGGTCCCCTACACCAAGTGGTATGGGAGTGCACCAGCTGTCAACATGCTGAGAGCCTATGGGTGCATGGTGGTGTTTCATGTGCCTAAGGAGAAGAGGGGAAAACTGGAAGCTTCTGGGAGATGGGGTGTGCACTTGGGGCTTGCTAAGGATCACAAAGGCTGGCTGATTTGGGACTTGACCAGCCAGCAGCTGACTGTGTCGAGGGATGTGAAGTTCCTTGAGTCCTTGTACTACAAGGAGTGGAAGCAGCAGCAGCAGAAGCTTCCTACTACACCGCTGATCATTGAGGCCGATGAGGTGCAGCGGCCTTCGAGACAAGTGCAGGTCACTGTCTCAGAGGAGGAAATCTCTGGGGTTACTGAGGATGGGGGAGAACCTGAGGTGGAGGAGCAACAGCAGCAGCAGCAGCAGCCGCAGCTGCAGCAACAGCAGAAAGATGCTCCACAAGGTGCCGCACGTCCGGCTGACCGTCCTAGGAGGGATGTGCGCCCTCCTAACCGGCTGACCTATCCGAGCTTTGGCAAGCCAAAGGTGGTAAGGGCTGGGAGTGTGGCTGAGCAGTGTGATGAGGAGGAGATAGCACATTGCTACTGGGCAGCCGTCCCTGAGCCCAAGACGCTAGCTGAAGCATTGAGTGGGCCGGATGCTGAAAAATGGAAGCAGAGTGTGAAGGAGGAGTATGACTCTCTGCTGGAGAACGAGACGTGGGGGCTGTGTGAGCTGCCACCTGGGAAGAAGGCCATTTCTTCCAAGCTGATCTTCAGGCATAATTATGGACCAGATGGGGAGCTGACCCGCTACAAGTCAAGGCTTGTGGCTAAGGGGTTTCAGCAGACAAAGGAGAAGGATTATGACGAGATCTTTGCTCCTGTGGGGAAAGGCACAACATTGAAAGTGTCACTAGCAATGACAGCAAACCGTGGATGGCGGGTGAAGCAGATGGACATTACCACTGCCTTCCTCAATGGGATCATTCTGTAGGAGCTGTACATGTTACAGC